AAAAGAAGCAAATCAGTCTTATTATTAATTATATATTCTAGATGAGGAATTGACAAAGACATATGTTGTCCTCAATAGGATTTTCAAAGACTACCTTAAGGGACACATTGAGAAAAAAATCTGCAGAAATTGCACTTCTGAAGTGATATTAATTAAAACATCTTGGTTTGTTGCTAAAATAGTGATATTGTTGCCAAAAAAACAGTTCAGAATCAACAATTTATCCTAGAGAAAGCTCAATGGATAATAGCTTTTAATTACATTCAATCAACCAAGATTGCATTTCTCTAACTTTCGGACCAGTTGCTTTGTTCAGCCTCTTATAGATATACAGCTTATCCAGTTGCATACTAAAGATAGAATCAGATTTTTTTAATTAATTCAATCAATATATTATAAATGACAAAAGCAACAATAACAATAATCTTCAGAAACCTTTTGTAGGCACTCCAATCCAGTTGAGGTAGCGGGTTAATTTCTTGGATACATAAGTCTTGCCTCTTGCAGGAAGACCAATCATTACAATCAGAGTTGGAGAGTTAGTCATATAAGAAGCCCATGCTATAAAAAAAGGGAGATGCAAATCAGTAGTTTCCTAAAGATGAAAAATAAAGAACATTCTTAAAAATTTTCAGATTTCATTTTCTATCCATACTTCAGAATATTATGTTCCTTTCCCAGAATCAATCAATGGATTGTGGCATTATGGTCTCCAGTGGTTGCTAATGAAAAGTGGCTGGCCAAATCAAAATAGCCAATGATGAAGGGCTTCAAATTGGATATAACATTTTTCCTTAAAATATTTTCCAATTAAAGAAATATGTTTTTCAAACGTGAGTGGAAAAGGATAACACATCTCCTGAAAATATAAATGTGGAAAATTGAACCAATATTTTATTTCCCTTAGGCTGATGTTAAACTAATTTTTATTACAGGTCCCTTAAAAAATATAATTTATATTAAGACACTATTGTATGTCACTCAGAGTCATTTTTTGCAAGATGGTGGCCATACAAATGTGATTAATAAATTAATAAAATAAAAGACATGCTATTTGGTTTATAGGGCAGTGTGATGGCTGTGGTGAAGACACTGGGCTTGCCAACAGTCCAGGTTCAATACCCGAGCATTGTGCAACCTGGTGAATTCCTGGCTAGATCTTGCCAATCTAGCAGTCTGAAAGCATGCAAATGTAAATAAATAAATAGTTACCATTTTGGGAAGGTAAACAGCATGATGTCATGCTGGCCACATGACCATAGAAAAGTTTCAGACAGCGCTGGCTCAACGGCCATTGAAAAAGAGATGAATTCCACCCCCTACAGTTGACAATGACTAATGGAGTAAAATCCACAGGGACCTTTTTTTAAAAACAAATAAAAATGGTTTACACATTCATAAACACGTGGAGAGAAATAATGGATGGTGTTGGTAGAAAATTGTTTAAATTTTCTTGATTTTTATTTCTTACCCTTTACTGTGCTTTGCATAATGTTGCTTAATCCAAAATGGAGTAATGTGATGGTTTGTATGTCAAAGATACTTGAGACTTGCAATAGAAATGTGTACTTTGTTATGCCCAGTATAGAAGCAATCAAGAGAGCATGATAACAGATATGCAAAAGATATCAAGTATGGATATTCTTCCAAACATTGCAAAAATGGGCCAAACATTCTCTGACATCTTTTTTTTAATCCTTCCACTGCCAAATCCCAATTTTTGCAGCCCAGCAAGCTTGCCAGAGATCTAAACTGATAATTTGCTGAGACTGAGTCAAAAGCTGGATTGCCCATTCTTGCTGAAGTTCATTGGGGTGCTGACATTCAGATATATGGTTAAAGATATATTGACACATAGGTGCTGACATTCAAATACATGGTTAAAGATATATTGTTAAATCCATTTTTGACTAAAATCTAAAGCTGCTTTACTGGTTTCTGAAATTGAACTGGTCTCTCAAAATAAGATGTAAGCTTGTTCATTTTATAAATTCATCTCTAAATAGCAATTACTTGCCATAGCAACATTTTTCCCAAGTTTAAAGACATGGGACTGTAACATTAAAAAAGTTAGATACATTAGATTGTGAGCTTCATAAAAGTCAGAATGAAAGTTTCAAGAAAGGAAATCTTGTTGGGAAATTTGTCTTCCTTTCACTCATGTTCAGCAAAGTAACTTCCCTAATCCTGATGTAAAAAAAAAATCAGTAGGCTAATAAAATGAACAAAGAACTGTCAGAAACAACAGGTTTATTGAAGGCTTATTTGGAGGATTAGTGAGCCAGGTTTAGCTTTAGTGCTACAGTTCTAAAATATTAAAGATAATAGGACACTATCTAGCCACAAGTAACAATTGAAAAAGAGGAATACAGCTTAGCTGAAATGGATGTTTTGTTGAAAAAGGAATTGTTTCTAATTTCAGCCTTCAAAATACAAAAAAGTAACAATAAAAGCAAAATCTCACAAAAAAGAGGCTATGGATATTCACCAATTGACATGATATTCCCAGTAATGTGCAGCATAACAGAGATTGTGCAGCAGGGCACAATGCAAGCAGTTAGTAATTAAGAATTACATTATATTCTAGAAAAGAAATAAGTCTCTTCCCTTAAAAGACAAAATGAAAGACAAGTTATACATGATAAATAGATTTGGAAGCTGATGAATGGGGAAAAGAAAGAAGGAGAAAGGAGAAGAAGGAAAATAGAGGTCCTTATCCTAACCTATTTCACTTGTAATCAGAAAATAGGAGGAAAGCAAAAATTTGCTTTTTTTGGAGGGGGAGAGTAAGGCATCTATTTTACTGGTGCTGGTGCTGGAAGAATGGAACATATTTTCTACATCTTTTCACTATTGGAAGTGTTGGCAAGGACAGAGGGTCAAACCAGTCCAAGTAAAATAAATCAGGCAGTCATTCTCCATATTGTTTTGCTTCTCAAATGTCAAATAAGATAGGATTCTTGAAGTAAAATAAGCCAGTGGCATTTAAATTCTTTGAGAAAGAGCATCCAAGATATAATTTAGTTAAACTATTGCTCTCTTAGCAAAAACAAATGAATGCTAAACTATTTCCAACTACTGACATATAAATAAAAATACCTCCAAACACAGAAAAATCTACCAATAAGAGATGTAAGCATTTCATTTAATTGCAAGACAGCTATGCATTTGGTTTACCAGATAATTATCTGAAGATATCCTGTCTGATATTAGCTGGATTTAATAAACTGTTTAATAAAATCATCATGATTTATCTGCCTCCAACTTCTTCCCTAGCCTTTTCCAAGAGGATCTACAGCTATTAAGACACATTAAAATCCTGAAAAATCTACATTAAAGAATTTTAAAACTGAGGCTATTCATATTTTTTCATCAAAGTATTATGCATTTGTCACAATCACTAAAAATCACCTGGATATTAAGCTCCACAGCATATTAAAAAGCCTTTGTCAAATATTCTAAAGGAGCACAATTCTTCAAAATGAGGAGGAACTACTTTCACAGACATGCAGCTTCAAAAATAAATGTTTTCCATTCTGTTTCCATTTCGCTATTTCTTCCAAATGGTACTAGTAAATTTACCATTAACCTAGTAACATCTCCTTCTTTCATGGCATACTTAAGCAGCCTGTATATGTGTGCTCCTTTGAGTCAGTTTTTGACACCTAGTGACTGCCGGTACTAGTCCCTGCAGTTTTCTTAGCAAGTTTTTTCAGAAGTGGTTTGCCACTGCTCACTAGGGCTCAGTAAGAATGATTATCTAAAAGTCATCCAGTTAGCTTCATTCTAGACCTAAGGCAGGACTATAACTCTTGGTTTTTAGCCTGGTGCCTTAACCACTATACCAAACTACTCTCCACCAAGCAGCCTATATGAGTCTTATGATATTATTATTCTCAGATTAACCCCATGATCTTAAATGAATGATTATCTGAAAGTCACTCAATAGGAGCCCCAATCTATATGTGAATTTAAACCAAGATCTCCCAGACTTAAGACAGCAAAACTTTATTCTACATGAGCCTTTTGTAAAATGGAAAGCATCCAGATCAAAAGTTTTGGGTACTGAACCAGGATTTAACTATGCCAAGTAGCGTAGTCTCCAGATATCAATAATTTTGTGTCAAAAAGAAATCACCCCTCTGCACAAGACTGTGATTAAAATGATCCTAAGTGAATCTTTCTCTCTTCCAAATAATATCACAAAACCATCACAAATACTCACAACACTTCTTTTCTGAAACTCGTAGATTTGAAGGCTTGCCTTCTTGGTTGTAACTGTTACCGTTTATGTTCTCTGGGATGGCAACAGCATCTGCTGACATTGCTGCAAGGCACACGATTCTTCAGTTTTGGATCACCAAATTCCTTCTAAGGACACACAGGGGGTTGTAAGTGTGAATTTTTTTTCTAAAGAGAAAAGAAATAATAGGCATAGTCTATGAGGTTCCTTCTTGCTGGGATTTGCCACCAAGGGTGAAAAAAAAACCTACATAAAAGTTCTTAGTCAAGGTCAACACAAGAGAGAATTTTCTATTAATTATAATTTCCCCACAAGGCAAAATATAATCTTGCATACATATAAATATGAAGAATTTTTTTTTTAAAAAAGGAAGAATGTAAGTCCTCAAAGGAAAGGAATAACGATGCCCTACAAATGCTTTCAGCGTTATTCCTTTGGGATGGGAGACCCCCTTCAAACTCGGCAGGAAGGACCGCGGCAGAGATGCCACACGACTGTACTGAGCGAGATCGCCGCCCACCTTTCGGTCCCTTCGGCTCCAGCCCTTTCTCCCGGTCCCTGCAGGCATACCTGCGAAATTCAGCACGCCCGCGTCGGGGACAGCAAGGCCAGATTCCTGGGTGGGCGGGCAGGCGGGCAAGCGGAGCCGATCCAGTCCGCAAGAGATCCTTCCCGGGAGCGCAGCCAAGCCACGGCCAGGTACCCGGGCGCAGGTGACCTTGTCCCCTCCCAGGCGATGGGCGGGCAGAGGGTGGCAATTCTTCGGAGAAGCGGCTATGCCAAGCGGCGTGAAGGCCAAGCAGAACAATGCCGGATACGCCAAGACAAGTGACGCAAAGGAACTCAGAAAAGAGGGAAAGAATTCTAGGTCAATGGGAACCGGCTTCATACCTGTATTCGAGGCTGCATGAAGGCAAATGGCAAATGTATTACCAAGGAAAACGCTATACGGGAGAAGCCAATTCCCCACCCCTCGCACAGGCTTTAAGAACACAGGTATGTATGTGTGTTATACGTATGCATGCATGTATATATATATGTGTGTGTGTGTGTCATGTATTGGCATTAATTCACTATGCGACACTGACGTCCTTCGGTAATATTCGCTTCCTAGTTTGAACTCAAAAAGCAATCCGTGGAGACTGTAGGCAGATGTGGACAGGTGTTCACATTCACCAATTCATGTGTTTGAATGCTTAGAACGAAAGTCAAAGCGAAATTATTCCGTTGTCCTTGGAAAGGAGGCTACCAGAAAAACCCCAAATCGGCCGATTAGGCTGGGAAGTTAAGAAAACAGTCCGGAAGAAGCCAATTGCGAATTACTTCCGTACTGTTGCCAAGACAAACGTACTGACACGTCCATACAGCCGCCAGAAGAGTCATTGGAAGGAGGCTTTAATGGTACGCATGCGCAAAGAGACGCCTCAGCAGTAGCTGCAGTTACCAAAAAGTAAAGCTTCAAGAAAGTGGGCGGGCAAAGACCGAGCCAGGATTGAGTCACGCCTCTCAGCGCTAACGTCAGTTTTCTGCGCAAGCGTACTGACAAGGGGTTAATGCGGCCCGAACGGATGTTTATCCTGATCTTGCGGTGAGAGTCTTTCATCGATTCTGATTGGCCTTTCTGGCAATTGTGCATGCCAGGAAGATGTAGAAGCGACCAATAGGAAGTCCAAAGGGAAGGGCTACGGGGGTTGCCTGGCTGCCGGTAGTTGCAGCCATTTTTGCTGCGGGGAGGGGGGGGGGAAGGCTGTTACATATGAAGCCCAGCAGCCGTCGGCAGGAGTGCTACAGATCAGGCGGCGATCATGTTGCGGCTGCGTTGTAAAGCGCGGAGTGGGTCCTTTCCGCTTCCCGGCCTCACGGCACATTCCCGTCTACACGAACTCCAGGCCGTGATTGCTGCCCTCACCGGTGTCCCCATCCAGGCCCAGCGCCTGCTGCTCGGCTTTCCCCCCTCGTGCCTCGACCTCAGTGATGGAGAGCAACGCCTCGGAGAGCTGGGCATTCATTCGGGTAAGCGGAGGGGCTTGTCCGGGCCCTTGGGCCGTTCCCTGTGAAAGTTGGGTCTCCCCTCCCATCTCGGGTGCCTCTCGGCAGTTAGTGGGGAGATCTGGAAGGGGCTGCCAGTCCTGCTCGGCGTGTGGCGCTGCTGTTGTCCTCTTGGGAGTCGAACCAGGACCCGCTCGCCACTTAAAAGATAGTCATGGGATGAAATCTTTTCAGTCCAGGTCGTTTCATTCGGTGTTTTCTGAATGAAGGACATGGGATTGAATGGTAATCTTATGATAAAAAAGGAGGGAAAATGTTGAATACTCAGAGGTGAGAAACTACTTTTAGTTTGTAGAAATCTGGCTTCGTTGTTTATGCTAGGCTGCAGTTAATCTGTATAGAATGTAGATCATTGCTGATAAAATTTGAAACTGAATATCCTTTCTCCTTGAAAAATAGACCTGCTTGGCAGTCATCCTCTTTTTTACAAATATATTTAAAGGTCTGCTCCTCAAGAAGAAAGCTATTTTTAAAGACTGCATATTTTCTCTTTGGCAGAACAGGAAATTGCAAAACCGTGACACACATGTTTTGACATCTTATACTTGTCTACATTTGGCAGCACCCATCAATTATATTTCAAAATGTTGCTGTTGTGCGAAGCATAGCTTCCCTGCCTTTGGGAAACAAGAGAATTGGTATAACTTGTAGTCTCCTGCATCTTTCTAATGAATGTGAAATTTTTAATATAAGAAAATGTCCAGGTATTTTTTCCTGGTGAAATGGGCTAGGTAGAATTTGGTAAAAGAAATTTGTTGTGTTATAAAATTCTGTAAGATGTATTCATTATTCACAATACATCTATTGGCTAAAGAAGGAATATATAAGAATTTACTCATTAGATTTTTTTTCCCCTTCCTTCTGGAAGCCTTATAAAGACATTTCTATTGTTTGCCTCCAACTATCTCTAATGTTAATGATTGCACCTGAATTATGTCTGGTTCTAGGTATGAGGATTCCTATGTTGGGCAGGGGTTGGACTAGTCAACCTCTAAGATCTCTTCCAACCCTATGATTCTATGATAGTTATACATGAATGTCATAGTATTTTCTTTGAGGAGTGAAAGACATCATATCATTATAGTAATCACTGCAGCAAAGGGAATATTATAGCCATATGACATACTGAAGAAGAGAGGTACCTGAAAGAATCATGATAGAACCATGACATGTTTCTTATTACTGTGCTAAATATTCATGTTATTGTTTTGTTCTATTTTTTTCTTGACAGGTGATACTCTAATAGTTGAAGAAGATGCAACCAAGCCCAAGAGTGATTCATCTATAGTTACAAAGCGGACTGTTTCTAATTCAGTTAGAGAAGCTGTACCTGTGCTTGCCCGAAAGGTTGTTCCAGCTGACAACTCGTGTCTTTTTACCAGCATATATTATGTAGTAGAAGGTGGGGTTTATGAACCAGGCTGTGCCCCAGAAATGAGAAATCTCATTGCCCAAATTGTAGCAAGTGACTTGGAATCCTATAGTGAGGCAGTCCTAGGAAAAAATAATCAGGAATACTGTGACTGGATCAGAAGAGAAGATACATGGGGAGGTGCAATTGAGGTTTCTATTTTGTCTAAATTCTATCAGTGTGAAATTTGTGTAGTTGATACCCAGACAGTCAGAATTGATCGTTTTGGGGAAGATGCTGGCTATGCTAAACGGGTGCTTTTAATTTATGATGGTATTCACTATGATCCACTTGAGCGTAAAATCCCCAACACAGACATTCCTCCCCAGACAATTTTTTCCGCAACCGACGATGTTGTCCTTGCACAGGCTTTGGAATTAGCAGATGAAGCCAGAAGAAAAAGACAGTTTACTGATGTAAATCGGTTTACATTGAGATGTATGGTTTGTCAGAAAGGATTAACAGGGCAAATGGAAGCCAGAGAACATGCCAAGGAGACGGGACACACCAATTTTGGAGAAGTGTGAATTTTCTATGAGGTTGGTCATGTTTACTACCTCACTGATCCAAAACGAGCCATCAGGTTTTTAAATAAGCTATATGTAATGTTACAGATTCACTCAAAGTTTGAAAGCCCTAAATTTAATTATGGCTGATATGCACAGGGTTGCAGTTGATAGTGTAAAATGTTTACAAGAGTGCATACAGTGATGTCATATTTTCCAAGGATCTTGGAGTATTCTTTTGCACAACTAAGAACTAGAGATAGCAACTGATACCAACAGGTGTATCAACTCTTGAAAAAAAATCTGAGCATCTGCTGAAGGAATTCCTCTAATACAACTGAATATATGCATTGCTGTAGCTAGCTAGGCCTGCATCAAGGACTTTAGATCACTGATGAAATAAAAATCTCAGCTCCTTACTGGATTTTTGATTGTGGAATCTGTGAAATAGTTAAGCTGGGTTTCATTCATATCTGGTAAAAATACCTGCATCTCAGTTTCGTTCATGTGAAATGTGTATGTTTTTGTAACTTAAAGCAGTAATTCCAAAGCTATTTTATTTGAAATTGCTGATTTAGAAAACTATGCGTGTAAAAATAAGGAATGCGAGTTATATCTTCAGCAGTCTTAGAAAGTGAAGCTACTAATAAGTTTGGATAATTCCATAGTGCCTAATGTATCAGTAGACATTAATTATATTTTTAAAAGGTATAATCTGTTGAGGTGTTAATATGAATAAATAGGGCCTTTAAAACTAACAAACTCAGCAATATGAATCAGTGTATTCATCATATGGATAAATAATATACTGCAGCTATAATATTTCAGGGGGAGGCTGTTTCATAACATCAGATTGTTAAATTTAATGTTAAACCTTAGGGGCAGAGTGGTAAGTTTCCAAATTATCCTATTCTAAGTATGACACCGTCCCTGATAATTGTCAAATTATTCCCCTTGAAAGCAGTATATTTATCATAGAACATGGGTGTCAAACTCGCCGCCTCACATAGTGTGTTGCGATGTATCAACTTTTTTTGCATTGCCAGAGTTGGGGTGGACGCGGCCTCAGCATGATGCAACTGGCCCGCCGGCCGGCAGTTTGACACCCCTGTCATAGAAGAAAACATTCAGATGTGGATACATTGGAGGTAGAGGAAGGGAGGAGAAAGTAGTTGCCAATTGGGCTGGTGCTTCATATTAAGAACAAAACTTAGGGACCTGCATCCAAAATCACAAAGCATTTGCTATTGGAAACCATTGCACTTTGATCTAACACTTGATTCATTACATAAATGAACACATTTTTTTTCTGTTGTAGCTCTTAACTGAATAACTCATTCAATATTGCCATATATGTGCAATGGTTTCCAATATTTGAGGCTGCTTTGGGATTGACCCTAAATCAAGTATTATGTTTTTGCAGGTTAAATAACTTTACTCAAATACTGTTTGCTAATAAGTCATGTTTTATGAATAATCATATGGTTTGCATGTGGTGATAGAAAAGTTATACTTAACCTGAAGGGCTTTTGTAGGCAATAGAAAATGTATTTGAGGATTATCTGAATTAAAATAATTTACAAATAAATTTAAAAGGAAAGGATTTAGCATTTGGGAGAAAGGGGGAAATTAAAATGTGAGATTGTGATGTGTGGTGATCAAAACTGATTTAATGCATGCTGACTTAGAATTAATTCAAATTATCAGAAAATGGAAGTGGTTTAGCAATGTTAGTTGCCATCAGTGAGATAGGCATTAGGAAATGAGTGATATTATACAACTGCAGTTGAGCAGAGATACTAATTTGGATCTAAACATCTACTTGTACCTTTTTAGGCCCCAAATGTATACATGACTAATTGCTATTCCAATTTATTTTTAATGTAACATGACCTATAAACTTACAAGCAGGCATAGGCTGGGTGACAAATCTCAATGAAGTGTTAAAGTTTTGGACCTAATTTGTGAGCTGATAGTCAATGTGAAAATGCACTTTTTAATCGGTTCAGAGATCTGAAGTGAATCGAGTGGATTTACATATTCTTTCTTGTAACTGACAAAATCTGGCATGCTATACTTAAGGTGTTTTAAGTTTTTTCCAGTGACTTGTAAACTAACAGTACAATTTTTTGTATTTGAATCAGATACTTTGAGTTAGTTTCTGCTCGTATATACTGAAGTGAAAATTCTCAATCTGGAAACATCAAAGAGATCTGCAATCACTCATTTCCCCATATATGATGGGTTAAATAATGTAGCTAAAGATAATTGTAGGTCTTAAATGGAAAACAATAATTACTAAATTATATGTTGATTTTAAGTTAATAAGACATGAAAGGTGATATCCTATGCACATCTGCTCAGAAGTAAACCCAAAGTAGTGGACTCCCAGGAAAGTCTGTTACAACTACACTAGCTAGTTTAGAGATATTAAGGATAACTCAGTTAATACTAATAAAGTGGTACTTTTGCCAAAAGCCTTAAACAAAACAACTGCAATTGTACTTGCTACAGTATAGGAAAATGTTACCAAGCTCACTACTGCATGCTTTTATTGGCCAAAAAGACTATTAGACAAGAATATTTATTTAAAGTTCTGCTTTAAATAACAGAATCAAAACTATAGGAAATAAATTCATTTTACAATTAATATTGGTACTGATCTCTTTAAAGTCTAAAATCAGGTTAGTTGACCTTAAAATCCTGTACATATATACTTGGACATAAATAAACACTGGAGATTGTTTCTATCAGAGACATGTACACACACACAAATACATACAACCCTATTCAAGAATTTTTTTACAGCTCGATTGCCAAATATGGTTTGAAAAATAGAGTGTATACAAAACTTGGAAGTGTAATATATTAAGCATTTAATCTGTAACCATATATCTACGATTACTTGGAAAAACATTAAAATTAGACATTTAGATAACTGAAGAAAAGATGTATTACGACACTTGAATATATTAATATAATAAGGCCTTTAAACCTTGTGGTTTGGGAGGAGGAATCATATTTGTTCACAGACTGAGATTGCAGTTAAACCTAGATACTGTACTAATCTCATCTTGTTTCCTTTAGAATTGATTAAATGCACCTATCAAAGGTGATGAGAAATTGACCTGTTTATATTCCTTTTAAGTAAAGGTGCTAATGGAAAGTTATTTTGTATATTGTTTTCTATTAAATATTTTTAATTTTAGAATATGTACTTTTGCATTTTTGCTTTAAGGTTTGTCTGGAGGCATGGGTTTAAATCACACTAGTTCATTGCAGATTATTTTACTAAGTAAAATTTAAATATTTTACCATCAGTATTATAATTGTTAATATAATTTAAAAAAATATAGCACAAGTTTTTATTGAACTATTGTCATAATTATGTTTCTCTACAGATGTACACATATGCATATAAAGATCATTAGTTACACAGAAATGCATTCGAGAATTAAATTTTTATATAAAATAAATCCTGACATGTTATATCTAAATGGTGGTTACCTGAAAGCTTGTAAATTTGGACAATACAGATTATTATTTCCTTTTGTTTAAGTAAGTATGAAGATGGTACCATATTTTGGTACCAGATTTGGATTACTTTTTATCCTTGATAACTATAAAATAAAGTCTTTTAAGTTGGTAAACATACTTTCTGGTAATGGGTTGTAATACTTAAACATTATGATTTTCTCTTCTGTTTTAAAGTAGCTATAAAATTACATTGGATGATTGCTAATAGAAACATCTCATAATTCAAACAATCTCTCATGTCACTTAGCTTTTTTTTAGTGCTCCATATCTAAGTCAACTGGGAAATGAAATTTCCTGTTACATCATTTATTTTGTAAAGGAATCTATGTCTACATTATCTTTCAAAACTATTATTTGCACCTTTCTTATGGATATAGAAGTCAATTTAAATAAACTTCAATTTGGGAGTAGAAGAGTATAATATTCATAGAATAGAATAGAATAGAATAGAATAGAATAGAATAGAAACACAAACACAAACCTCGGAGGTCTTCTAGTCCAGCCCCCTGCTCGAGCAGGAGAACCTATATTGTCTCAGACAGGGGGAAATCCAGTCTCCTCTTAAAAATCTCCAGCGATGGAACGCCCACGATTTCTGGGGGTAAGCTGTTCCACTGGTTAATTGTCCTCATTGTCAGGAAATTTCTCCTTAGTTCCAGGTTGCTTCTCTCTTTAGTCAGTTTCCAAACGTTGTTTCTCATCCTTCCATCTGGTGCTTTGGTGAACAATCTGACCCCCTCTGCCTTGTGGCAGCCCCTCAGATACTGGAACACTGCTATCATGTCTCTCCTATTTCTTCTTTTCCTTAGACTAGCCCACGGGTAGGCAACCTTGGCTCTTTTATGACTTGTGGACTTCAACTCCCAGAATTTCTCAGCCAGCAAGTCCACAAGTCATAAAAGAGCCAAGGTTGCCTACCCCTGAACTAGTCAGACCCAAATCCTGTAGCCGTTCTTCGTATGTTTTAGTTTCCAATCCCCTGATCATCTTAGTTGCTTTTCTTTGAATTTTTTCCAAATTCTCAACATCTTTTTTGTGGTATGGTGACCAAAATTGGCTGCAGTATTCTAGATGTGGTCTTATAAAGTGGTAATAGTACTTCTCGTGTTCTTGATTCTATGCCTCTGTTTATACAACCCAGGATTTTGTTAGCTTTTTTGGTTGCTGCTGCACATTGCTGGCTCATAGTCAAGTGATCGTCCACTAGAATTCCAAGGTCCCTCTCACAGTCACTGTTTTTGAGCCAGATCTCGCCCAATCTGTATTTGTGCCTTTGGTTTTTCCTGCCTAAATGTAAGACTTGGTTTTCTCCACATTGAAACTCATTTTGTTGGATAGGGCCATTGTTCAAGTTCATTTTTTGTTCTGGTGTCAATACACACACACACACATTACTTGATACAGTTTAATATCCTTAAAAGTATCACTAACTTTAAAATTCTCAGAAATTGCGAATAGAGTGCAATTTGAAGACACTTAAATGATAACTACTATACAGTAGTTCTGTAGTATTAGTTGATTGGATTAAATATTGAAGATATGTTCCAAAATTTACATATCTGGTAATAGCCCCAGCATTAACATTCAGAAATGTGAAAATGTATGTTTTACTAGATGGCCTTTTGTACACTTTTAGAGGAGATCAGTATATCAAATACAGCACTTTACAAGCTTGTAAATCATGATTTATCAGTTTAGTGGGCTTTGCAAAGAAATTAAATGGGTGCATTATGATTTTTTTTTGTAAACTGGCATACGTTTTAAAAACATCTAATTTACTTTTTTTCAGTGGTACCACATATTGCAACATTATTTCATGGAAATACGTACAGTATATGTTCTGTTTAACATACTCTCTTGAGTTTAATTATAGCAACACTAACATGTAACATCATGCATGCATGTCCCACTTTGTATTCACTTGTATTTCTGCTTTCTATCTTTAATAAAAATTGATGCTGATACATATACATAGATTACAGGAGCTATTGCAAAATGTATTGCAAATTATTCTTATTACCAAAA